ATTACCCAAGTCCTTTGTGTGAAATTGCTTACCCAAATAAAGCTTCAGATCAGCAATACCGGCGGAGTCACTGTTAGAGATGATGATGTTGCCTACATAAACAATGAGAACAATAACCCTAGTAGATGAGTTGCGAATAAAACAGAGTGATCAGAAGTGGAACGGTGGAAACCATATGCAAGCACAACGGTACTGAAGCGATCAAACCAAGCACGAGGAGATTGTTTGAGACCATACAAAACCTTCCGTAATTGACAGACCATATGCACATGACTAGGAACAACATAGTCAGGGGGCTGATCCATATAGACATCCTCGTTGAGATCGCCATGAAGAAAGGCATACTTTATGTCAAGCTAATATAAAGGCTAAGACTGACTAACTACAACAGAGAGAAGAATCCTAACAGAATTAAGGCGAGCCACAGGGGAGGTATCAAGATAATCAATGCCATAGGTTTAAGTATAACCTTTGGCCACGAGACGGGCTTTAAGCTGCTCAACAGTACCATCAAGAAGATACTTAACAGTCTAAATCCAATGATAACCAATAACAAGTTTCTTAGAAGGAATAGGTGTAAGTTCCCAAGTCTGATTCTAATGAAGAGCACTCATTTTCTCATCCATAGTATGTTTCCAACCCGACATCGATATAGCCGGTTGATGAGATGGAATAGAAAGATGAGACAAGTTATATGCAAAAGAGTGAAAACTAGAGGAAAGACGAGCATAAGAAACAAAATTAGAAATAGGATGCTAAGTACAAATACGTTTATCTTGGTGCAATGCAGTAGGTAAATCATCATCAGATGGCATAGGTAGAGGAGGGGTAGGAACCTCAAATACAGAAGATGAAGTAGCTGGGCCATAAGAAACCAGTCAACGGGCTTGGGACCACTGATAAACCTGTAGAGGAGATGACGGAGAAGAATCTAAACCGATGGAAGATGACGGGGGAACAAAGGGCACCGGAAGAGTAGCAGTTGGAACGGATGTCTCCTCCTCATGACAAGAGATAAGATCCCCTGACAATTGCTGACTAGGCGAGGAGAAAAAATAGGTGGATTCTAAAAAGGTAACATCGACACTAGTAAAGACTGATGAGACTAAGGGTGATAACACTGATAACCTTTCTGTGTATGGGAATAGCTGGCAAAAACACATTTTCGAGCATGGGGAGTTAATTTATACAACCTTGGATCCAGGACATGGACAAAGGCTAACCAAAAGCACGAGGATGAAGAGGAAACAGAGAACAATTGGGGTATAATTGAGAGAAGGGAGACTGATTATGTAAAACAACGGCGGGCATGCGGTTAATAAGGGAACATGCAGTAAGCACAACATCACTCTAAAATTGTTTGGGAATATGCATATTAAACATCAAGGTCTGGGCAACATCTAGCAAATGTCGGTGTTTCCGCTTAGCAACACCATTTTGCTGTGATGTATGAGCACAACTAGTTTGATGGATAATACCATGAGCATCACAAAAAACATTCACAATAGATTGCATATATTCTAAGGCATTATCAGACAAAAATATCTTAATGCATTTCCCAAACTGAGTAAATATTTCATTATAAAACTTAGAAATTATTTGGGGAAAGTCAGATTGCTGCCGTAATAAAAACAACTAAGTCATCCAAGAATAATCATCCACAAAAATAACAAAATAAAAAAAACGATTACCAGTGGGAGTGTGAGAAAGACCCCATATGTCTGTATGGACTAAATCAAATGACGTTGACACACAACTAACACTACGACTAGAAAAAGAACTACGGTGATGCTTGCCGAGCTGACATGCTTCACATTCAAGTTGAGACAAATGGCTTAAATCCAGAATAACTAACTTATGGGTGACCCATACGGAAATGCCATTGCAAGGGAGACACTGTTGCACACAGAACAACAAAACTAGAAGGAGGAGAACTAGCAGTGTCCAAAAAATATAAGCCGTTCTTCTCATGCCCCGAACCAATCATCTTCTTGGTTTGGAGGTCTTATAAAACACAAGAAGAGGGAGAAAAGGTTACAGAACAATGTAGAACTTTAGTTAATTGACTAACAGAAAGCAAATTAAAAAGAAAGGACGAAACATAAAGACTAGAGGGTAAGGAGAGAGATGAAGTGGGTTGAAGAGTGCCTTGGTCACTAACAGGTTGGGAGGATCCATCAGCGAGTATAATATTACGGGTAATAGGACGAATAGTATGAAAAAGAGAGGAATTACCAGAAATATTAGAACTAGTGCCGAAGTCTAAAAGTCAAGGTTAAGGGGATTGAGCCATACATGCAATATTACCTGAGCTAGCTAAGGTAGCAGTAGAAGATGAAGGAATAGTAGTACGAGAATTGACTAGCTCTATCTCAGTAAGCTTACTAATCTAGGTGGTGAGTGCATCATTAGAATCAGTTAGGGAAGCACTTAGTCCAGAGGGAACTAAAGTTGACGGAGAGGATGAAGCATCCATAACCTGATTCATATGATCAGGTTTACCATACTTCTGCCAACACAGAGGTTTAGAATGACCTAAGGAACCACAATGAGTACATTTTCGATCACCACGAGATACAACACCAGTACCACGTCCACTGCCACCATGAGAATCATGAGAATAACGACCACCACGAGAACCACGTGAACCAGTATGGGATTCATGAGAACTAGTGCTGCCAGGAAAATTACCCCAAGGAGGTCATCGGTCACTACTGTTAGAGATCAAGGTAGAAAAGGACAAGGGTTAATCAGATGTGGAAGAACCCTGGCCCAAAGTAGAACGCAACAATCGAGAATAGACTTAGCAACAGAAGGTGAAGTCTCAACCCGGCAGCAACATGAAGCAAAAACAGACTCAAGGATAGCCTCCTAGGGCTATTTCGGTCCCAAGGAAGAGGTTTCAACAATCAAAAGAGTCTACTTAAGGAGCTTTATAGCAAATCAGAAATACGATACCATTAACTCGAAAATCTTTCAAAAATAGAAACTCACACCAGATGGTTTCAAAAAAATTCACAAAAATCACCATTGAGATCAGAAGAGGGAGACGACCAATAAGGGGTTACTTCATCTGTACAGTTTGTGATGTCATGTTGTCGTCATCGTACGAAAGATGACGTCAACACGTCATTGTCACCTCAAAGGAATCGCGAGTGACTGAAGAGCATTTTGACAAGGTTGAATCGACGCTCTGATGCCATGTTGAAGCGTAAAAGTATGGAAAACTTTGATTAGGGCTAGAGAGAGAGAGAATGAACAAAGAGAAGACTGCTATTATTAAACGTATACTTCTTGGTTCCTTTGATAAACCTAAAACATCAGCAAATATATAAAATACAATACGACCAGAGTACCCTCACTCAACACAAAAAATAACATATATCACTATATATTCTAACAGTTAGGTTAGGCTGATTTGTTTGTTTCTATTTATCTAGTTGTGTGGAGCTTGTTGCATACTTAGTTGTGTGGTGCTTCAAATTGCACTCACATAAATTTCCCACCCACTTTTTGTAGCAATCTTTTCATAAATTGTGGGTTTATTAGACTACAACCAGGGATCCTTTGGAGTGAATGAGCCAATTAACAATTAAAAAAAATTCCTGACAGATGCTTTCATCAAAATCTGGGTTAATTAGGCTGTGTAAATTTTGTCAAGTATCTTTTGGCCATGTCATCCTGGATTTACCAAGCCGGCTGGTCAGAGTTTGAAATGAAGCAGGAATAATGTGGTTGTTTAATTGGGTTTTAATTTGGCCAACAATTTGTGTCTTACTTCTGCGATCTGTTAATTGTTAATTGCAATTATTGTATTATCACCAGTTGGTATTTGGATGCGCTGTATAGCCTTCAGAGATATTCTAAATTTGTGATACCTGGATTTCAGTTGTTTTTTTAACACTTGCGAGTTGGAATTTTGCCACTGAAGCAGAAATGACATCTGCTTTCCCTATACTCAACCCCTGTATGTAGAGGTCTTTGTTATAGAAAGGAGTCGCTAAGGGGCGAGTAATATGTGAGCAATATGTTTGGTGTCGTTGTCAAATCTAATCCAATTTGTATTTGAACGTTGTCAGTCACCACTGTGTATTGGTTTCCATCATTCTGAGATTCACAAATTGTCAGGTCTCTGTCATTGTGAAAACATAAGTCGCCAAATGCTTTAGATATTCAATTATCATTTTTTGAGAAGTTTGATCTTCCTTCTTGTTGTTCAATATTCAAATAAGTTAATTTTGAAACAGAGCATTTCTGCGTAGTGGGCCAAATACTTGGGTTGCCTAGTGATCCCTTACCCATGACAGCTCTAGGTAAACTGGGAGTCAGGGGGTTCAGAGATAATCTCTTGTTTTATGAGTACAAGTGGCTCCCTTGGACTCGAATGTTTCATGCTTGACTGCCCAACTTTGTGTAAATGCAGCAAGCAATGGACCATTTGGAATACCTCCATGTGAATTTTTATTCATTGTTTATCTTCGGCTCTGTTGGTTTATTGTTTTTGTTCTGGAGTTTGTATGCTGTGGATGGATTTTGTTTTTGCACATTCTACTTGTTTTAAAAAATTTATTATCTAAAGAAAGAACATAAATGTGATATTGGGCTCAACTAGTTTTATTTATTTATTAATAGAATGCAACACCCTTCTGCTGACCATTGGAAAACTGCCAACCACAGTAACCATATTTTGGGCATTCTTTTTACTGAAAGGGGAGCATGAAGAGCTCTAGTTGAAAATTGAAATTTACCCTTAATAATTGTGTTTAAGCCATTTCAAACTAATGACATTTGTACTTTCAGTAGAAAGAATGGCAAAAGGGAAAAAATCCATCGTCTTCTAGTCAGTACATAGATCCGGATTTCTCAAAAGAAAATACAAATATGTTTGCGTTTCTTCTTAGTTTTTGTTATGGAATCATATTTACAGTTGGCATTCTCCCTTCTCTGCGGAAGTGTAATGGATTGTTTTTTTTTTTTTGTTCCCCCCCCCCTGAATGCAGGAATAAAGGACAAGTATCGTTCATTGCTGAAATTTTTTTCATCATGTATCAGTCATCTCATATCTATTGTATGCATTGGAAGGTATGTCTTTTCACATCAAAATGTGCCAGTGGCATTTGGTAACCAAGCATTTAGCTGCAAGTTGAAGGAAACTTTTTTTTGTTTGTGTGTATTGCTTCAGTATTTGTTGCCTGCTCTGATTCACCAGTTGTTTTGAGACTGCCTTATAATTATAACTGCATTCTCTCTTTACCACGCTCAAGCTGCATGGATTCCTAATAGGTTGCCTTTAATTGAAGTTCAAAGTCTACACACTATGATTTCTATTGTTTGTTTTTCCATTTATACGATAATTTGCTTCTCATTTTGGCCTTCCCTCAATGCTTTGGTGTTTATTTTTAATTTTTTGTTTTTTTGGGGGTGGGTTGGTGGCCTTTGGGTTAGCAGTATCTGGTCATCTCTAAGTTTGAGCCATTAATATTATCTGGTGAAGTGTGAGCATGCTTGGATAAAGCATCTTGGAATTAATGACTGGGTTCCCACCTGGAGTGGGTTTATCTTGGAATTAATGACTGGGTTCCCACCTGGAATGGCCTAGTCTCAATTTGTAGATGAAGAGGGCATAAAGAGCTACAAGGATATAATTCTAAAATGGGGACAACTCTGTCTGGACTTGAAATCCATACTTTGTTGTTAAACACTAATTTAATATAAGATAATAACAAAACAATCACCTCATTCTAGATACTGTAAGGACCCATACAAGACAAGGACAGCTGTATATGTAAAATCCTTACCTACTGGTACGCACTGAATACAAGTTAATAAGAAAAGAACACCTCAAGCTAGAAATGTCAATGGGTTGCAAGCAACAATTTTAGAAATATTTTAATTTTGTTACGAAAAGATGAGTATACTTACTCTTTGATATTTACTTGCCAATATGAAAGGTATCCTTGTGATAGAGGAACACAAATATTTTTGTGTTCAAATGTATGAAGCTACGGACTTTGCAGATGCTACACACCTGGGGTATAGTGCACCACATCAATGCTTCTATTAGTCCTTCCATTCCATGATTTTGGCACTTAGCGTATGTGATATGGGATTGTTTTCATTTCTTTGGAAGGAGGATGTGTTTAATGGTGGTGTGGAAATTCTCATTGAGGATTGATGGTGGAACATGTGAAAATTCTTGTTAGGATTGATGATGGAACATGTTTTAGACCTGTTCAATAGGAACCTGCAAATCAAGTTTCAAAATTGGGTGATATTTTTCTCGGTTTGGTTTCTTCATGATGGATGAGGGCAGGAAGTGGACTAGAAGCCTAGAATTACATTTGCTTGTGTAAGACTGTTACAGATGTTGATGGAAGGGGTCAGGATTGGGGGATTGACTGATGTTGAAGGGACTTTGTAAAGCTTGCTAAGCCATGTGATCTCATGAATGTGATGTCAAATGGGTGCCTCAATAAATACATATGAGCCAATCAGTCGTCTAAAAAACGTGCTAGTGTTCTACATCCATCACATATCATGGGACCCATTGTGCTGGAACTCTTGGATATGCGTCTAGTTTCGGTAGATTTAGGCTTTTTGGCTTAGGAAATACGAATGACGATCTTTGTTTTAGTGTTGATGAGAAATGTTCATTTCGGATTGGAAGTAAATGAGTTCATTGCTCAAGCAATTTGGATAACTCTCAATGTAAACTTTCTTGTTGCATGAGTCAGGGAGAATGTTGTGTTAACTTCTTGATGTGTTGATATCTTTGTTCTTGAGTTCTGGGTTCATCCATCCTTTATTGAAAATTTTATACAAAGTTGACTTAAATATTTCTTGACTTGTTAGTTGGTGAGACAACTCATTTTGTTGACATCTTGGTGGGATTGGCAACTTACGTTTACAAACATCACGCAGCTTATTAAATTAGTTGTTGAACATTAAGTTAGTGTGGGTGTTTGTGTTTCTGGATGAAATTTGCTGGTAGTTTTATTCTTTATTCTTAAGTAGTCATCTCTTGGCTTACTGATGATATGATACACTTGGTTCTACTATCTTGGTTAGTTAATTCTTTGACTGAGTTTATCCCTTGTCCCACCTTTCCAAGATCAAGGCAATTACTGTGGTTGTGCCTCTCCATGGCAATTGACTCGGTGTTGATCCGACCGAGTTATGCTAGGCAATATCCATCAAACGGTATCCATCGCATGATTTCCTTTGAGCAGTGTACACTGATTGGCCTTCACCGAGCTGATCAACAATCTATACTCAAGGCACCTTAGTACTACTACATCAAATCTAGGCTAGGAGTAGGGCCTATGAACCTTCATCAAGGACTTGTGGTTTGGAGTTGAGACTTGAGAGTTTAGGGATTGGTAAGGTTGCCTGCCTCACCCTCACTTGGTTGAACCTTGACTGACCATAGAGAGAGAGAGAAGAAATGTGATGATGTGACACCTCGAAGGACCCTACAATTGCAGAGCTTTGATACAACGTTTGAGGATGAACATAGCTACGTACTGCAGTCCTATGAGATGACCTCTGAGGTTTGATCATGGGCATAGTAAATAGTTGGGAAGCCTTTGGTTTGTCAAATCCAGGGGTTAATAATCCACTTGTCCGCCAACATGGTACATTGTGCTTTGGCTAAGCTGACCCCCATGACCTTCTTCATGCATGCAAAATAACACAAACATGATATCAATTATCTCCCAACAAACTAAGAAGGTCTATCTCTATTTTGTACTATCGTCACCCTCTCTTCTTCTAGAGAGCCGCCTTAGCTCTCACCAACTCCACCTCCGATGGTCCCTGCCGTCTCAATGCCTACCATCTTTCCTAAAAGATCCTATGTAAGGGCCAAACATCCACACATTTGAAATATAATGGCTTTAGATTGAGCACGGAAGCACCTGAGTCGTGCTTTTGCTATATTCTTTCAATATTTAGGCTCTGTTTGGAAGGATTTTCAAATCCTAATTCTACCCACATTGTAACATCATGTTTGGATAGAGTTTTGTAATTAGTTTTCCACAACAAACACAAAACTCTGCAGAAAACTCGGTATAGCGTGATTTTCAAATTTTTTTTTTTTTTGAAATTTGGCCTAACCGGACGTCCCACCAGTCGTCCGGCCGGTTGACTGGAACAGGGGAATTTTTTTTTTTTTTGACATATGTTAATTTTTATATATTCGAATAAAATATATTCTGAATTTTTTAATTTTTTTTTTTGTGCTTTGATAGAATTTTGAGTTATATGTTTGATTGTGAGTTGTAAGTTTTTGTATCAAATATCATACATCACATTAAAAAATAAATTTTCCACATTCAAATCATAATTCCAAAACTCACAAACTCAAAATATAACTCATACTCTCAAATCATATTTACAAAACTCTACCAAACGCAACCTTAGGCTTTTAGATTTGGTTTTGGAATCAATTTTGTTCTCGACTTAGTTTAAAATCCCTAGACTTGGACTTATCAAAAAATAAAAAATCCTAAACTTAGAATTTTCATACATTTAGGTGCTGTCTGGTAACGTGTACAATTTATTGTTTGTTATTTACAGAAATATCAAACAAAAGCATGTTAGGTAGTACACGTCTTAAAATTGTTTGGAAAGCAAGTGAAATGAGTGACTGGTGGGAAGTGGTGATTGAAGGTGTTTGTTGACAATCGTGGATTGTGGCCAGTGTGGTTTTTTACCTTGCGAAGGTGGTTATCGGAGGTTGTTGCCTACCACCGAAGGTGAGTAGCGGTAGCCAAAGGTGGTTACTGACGGTTGGTCGCCAGATGTGGTGGTTAAAAGTGGTTTCTAGCAAGAGTATTAGCGAAAGGTGGTGGTGGTTAGTAGTGGTTGGTGGTGGTTGGAGGAGGTCATCGGTGATGGTGTTGGTAATGAGCACGGTGGGTGGAGGAAGCGGAAAAAAAAACTTTTTCTAAACAAAATGAAAATACATATTGTGGGTGAGAGGGGTTAGAGGTGCTCAGTTGTGGACCTTTATGAAGATGGCAAGCACTTCAATGACTCACTATCCTTGGATCTAAAGGAGATGAAGGCCAAGGCACCCTTAGAGATAGAGAGGGTGGTAGTGAGAGACCTTGAACACTTACTATTTGTGTACAAGATAGGTTAGTTCTCTTATCTTGCTATTATTAGTTTGTGATTATGATGGTAGTGTTGATTTGTTGTGGTTGTGTTCATGATACCGTTATATATACTCTAGGAGTGTTGATGCTCAAGGAAGCTATGGACATGTGGCGAGCTCTTGTCGACTCGACAAATAGTGATATTAGTCCTATTGCTATGTTCTACGATTCAAGCCTTTGGGCAAGCAGCATAATAGGAGCTCCAGAGGTATAGGAATGATATCTCGGGGATTATATCAAGTGTGAGTGTAAGGTCAACGCCCTCTCTCTAAGTTTGGCCAAGGTGGAGCTGTCATCCTAGGAGAGACAACCAAGCGACTTTGATGAACCGATGATCTTATCCTTTACTTCACAATCCTCTAATGATCCTGAGTGGGGATGCCTAGGCCTTGCTTCCAACCTAGGCAGCCAAGTGGTCAAGTAGAATGAGTGAGCACATAGGTGAGCCAAGGGCCCAACCTAGCAGTCAAGTGAACATAGGTTAGTCAAGAGCCCAACTATGTTGTCATTGAGTGAGAATGAGTAGGGAGAGAGTGTTCCCTGTTAGAATGAGGCATGAAGGACCACGGCTATCTAGTGCTCCAAGTGAGTCATGGTGCTGCCAAGTGAGCAAGCTTACCTCCACTACATGAGCCATGTCAAGCTCTTCATATTTTGGCTCATTTGTCTTGGAGCTCCTATGATTGGGCGGCAACTGCACTAGTAAACTCCGTACTTGGTTTGCGTGTATGCCCTTTCTTAGGCTAGGCATACAACCCTAAGGGTTATGGTGTCTTGGGGGTTTGCCATGTGGGGGTGTGATAGTGATTATGTGGCGCCCGTAGGGCTAGCCATGTTCTCCCACCTGCTGAGTCATTAGTGTGTCTTAGTTGTCTAGAAATAAATAAAGAGAAAATTATATTACTTGAAGTGAAAAGTAGAATTAAACAATATGAAGTTACAGAACCTCGGGATATGCAAAAAACCTTCGATATAGTGAACATTATTAGTGCATACGCCCCCCAGGTAGGATTAGATGATCAGACTAAGAGAGATTTTTGGAACCAAATGGATAAGGTATTACAGGAGATATCCGTAGAAGAGAACCTAGTTATAGGTGGAGATTTCAACAGCCATGTAGGAATAGATAAACTAAGTTATGAGAGGGTGCATGGTGGGTATGGCTTTGGTGATAGAAATAAGGCTGGAGAGAGTATTTTAGATTTTGCGTTGGCTTCTGACCTGGTGGTGGCCAATACTATGTATAAGAAGAGAGAGGAGCATTTGATAACCTTTAAGAGTGGGTCAATTAGGAGCCAAATATATTACTTTTTAATAAGAAAAGTGGACTGTCTAAAATGCAGCGATTATAAGATGATTCTTAGAAAGAGCTTGACGTCTTGACATAGGATTTTGGTACTACATTTATGTTTTAAAGGGCAATATCGAACTAGGAAGGGTAGTGGGCATCGTAGGACGAGATGGTGGGACCTAAAAGGGGATAAATTGGAAATATTTAAGAATAGAATGAATAAAGAAGGTACGTGGGACTTGAAAGATGAGGCTAACACTATGTGGAACTCGATGGCTAATTGTATGAGTAGAATCTCAAGGGAAGTCCTTGGATAATCGAAAAGAAAGTGACCCAATTCTAAGGGAACTTGGTGGTGAAGGAAGGAGGTTTAAGCGGTAGTAAAGGCGAAAAAGGAGTGCTTTAAAAAGTGGCAGAAGGATAGAATTGAGGAAAACCTTAAGAGTTACAAATTGGCGAATAAGGAGGTCAAAAAAGTAGTGAAAGGCTAAGTTGAAAGCCTATGATGACCTATACACTAGACTAGGTAGTAAGGAGGGAGAGAAAAGAATATACAAACTTGCTAAGATAAGAGGGAGGAAAACAAGAGATGTTAATTAAGTTAAGTGTATCAAGAGTGAGGACTCTAAAATGTTGGTGAAGGATGAAGAGATTAAGGAGAGGTGGAAGAACTATTTTGAGAAGTTGTTAAATGAGGAATATGGAGGAAGGTCGAAAGGGGAGGAAGTAGCTAGTAATAAGGAAAACCAAGACTACAGGTTCTATCGCAAGATTAAGAAATTTGAAGTGGAGATTGCACTTAAGAAGATGAAATCAAATAAGACTTTAGGACCCAGTGATATCTCGAAATGTTTAGGTAAGAAGGGGGTTGCTTGGTTGACTATGTTATTTAGCAAGATTTTGTTGACTAGGAAAATGCTAGAGTGGAGGAAGAGTATTTTAGTACCAATTTATAGGAATAAAGGAGATGTCCAGAATTGCAACTATAGAGGAATCAAGCTGATGCGTAGTCGATTGTGACATATAATAGTGGTGAGAAACAATTTGGATTTTTGTGTGATAGGTTAACAATAGAAGTGATCTATCTTTTGAGAAGAGTAATAGAAAAATATAGAGAAAGAAAAGAGACATTCATATGATTTTTATCGATCTTGAGAAAGCATATGATAGAGTACCTCGGAATATAATCTATTGGGTGCTAGAGAGCAAAGGGGTGACAAAAGGTTATATTGATGTGATTAGGGATATGTATGAAGGCGTGGTGACAACTATTAGATTGCCTGCTGGAGAGACAAGTGAATTTTCAATTACTATGATAGAGTACCTCGGGATATAATCTATTGGGTGCTAGAGAGCAAAGGGGTGACAAAAGGTTACATTGATGTGATTAGGGATATGTATGAAGGCGTGGTGACAACTATTAGATTGCTTGCTGGAGAGACAAGTGAATTTTCAATTACTGTGAGGTTACACCAAGAATCAACCTTAAGTCCTTATCTTTTTGTTTTAGTTGTGGATTAGTTGATGAGAAATATCCAAGGTGATGTGCCATTGTGTATGTTTTTTGCAAATGATATCGTGTTAGTGGAAGAGACTAGAGAAGGAGTTAATACTAAATTGGAGACTTGGAGTGTAATTTAAGTAATAGTAACAATGGAAGTAGAGGAGAAGTGAAGATTGAGAACCAAGAACTACCTAAGAGTGAGCATTTTCGTTATTTAGGATCGATTATCATAACAGCTGGGGAGATTGAAGCGGATATGGTCTATAGAATTAAGACGGGATGGCTTAAGTGGAGGAGTACGCTTGGGGTATTATGTGAAAAAAGTACCCACTAGACTAAAAAAAAAGTTCTATAGAACGATTATTAGACCAGCGATGTTGTATAAAACGGAATGTTGGGCAACTAAGAAACATATAGATAAGATGAGTGTTGTTGAAATGAGGATGTTACGGTGGATGTGTGCAAGCCTAGAAAAGGCAGAGTTAGGAATGAGTATATTCGTGAATGGGTAGGAGTAGTACTGATAGAAGATAAGTTGAGAGAGAATAGATTGAGATGATTTGGTCATATACAATAGAAACCAACAAAGACAATAGTGAAGAAATGCAATACAGTGACGGTAGATGAAAGTGTTAGGAGGTAGACTTAGATTGACGTGGGCTATGTAGTAAATAGAGATATGAATCTTCTGAATTTGACTAACCAAATGGCCGTTGATAGAGTCGGGTGGAGAATAAGGATTCATGTAGCTGACCCCATTTGATGGGACTTAAAACTTGGTTTGGTTTATGGTTTGAAGTTGAAGTGGAACCCATTGTTCTCATTAATAAAACATAGTTCTGCACTAGAACTACTTGCCTAGTCTATCAAACTGTGATGAATATTTTTAAGGTAGGCTTGGTTTGATATTCTCTTATTGAGAGATGTGTGCCCTTTGGGCTGCAGGTACCCAGGGATATGTGTAATGAGCTTTACGGAAATATCTATTCTTTTTGGTGATAAAACACATGCAAAAAATGTGATACAAAAGTGGCTTGTTGAATTCACTGGTTCTGTTACTGTCTTGCTGTGTAATGTCATAGAAATTTATATGCTAGGTGGGAAAATTTGTTTGCCAACTTGCTCTAAAAGTTATGGTAAGGCTTAGGGTTCTAATTATGATTCTTGGTTGAGAGCAAGACCCTCATCTTTGTCTTAGCAGTGATGATGTAATGATTTGTCCTAGTAAAAGAATAGAAACTACTATGAATTGTTTGAGATGAAAATCAACTCCAAGATGTTATCATTATGCTATCAGACCTCTGTTATCAGAATCTTACGATTCGCGATTCGATTCACGATTCGATTCATAATTTTTGTAAAATCGATACGAATCTATGGGTGAATCTATTTTGGAAGTGAATCTCTAGTGAATCGTACGATTCACAATCGATTCACGATTCGATTCACTTTTTACGATTCATGCAATTTTTGAATTTATTGTATCCGACATATTTCGTCTCTTTTTTTGTCCATCTTTTTGGTGAAAATTATATAATACAACTTCTAGTAGTGTTTAATACCAAAACAACTAACGTATATACATGATTTGTTGTTATTTTAGTAATTATGGAATTTTTAATAGGATCCAATCAGATTTAATCAGACCCAACATATTTTTAACCTTTCTTCTCATTTTTTTTTCCTTTAAAAAATCATAATATATCTTCTAATGATGTTTAAAATTAAAGTTAAATTATGAATTATCTATTGCTGAGATCAGTTATACCTTTTAAAATGTTTTAGGTTTTAAAATAAAAGATTCTAAATAATTCTTTCTTATTATTTACGCACTGTTACTTAGAAAACTATGTATACTTATTGTCCAAATATCAATATCGTTAATTATTATTACTTTAGAAATTGATAGTTTGTCTGTTTGGTTATTATTTTTTATTAAGAATAGTTGGTAAGACATATCTAAAAAAGAAAAAAAGGTACGATGGTGATCTTATATAGGAACCTTTTTTACCTTCTTACCTATTAAATTACGTGATTATCATTCAAAATAATATTTTCATAAATTTAAGTCTAAATATTTTATATTCATAAGATATATTTAACATCTAAATGTGTAGATATATGTTTTAAGTAATTTAGAACAAATGACCGAATCTTTACGATTCACGATTCGATTCGATTCGCGATTCGGTACGAGGTCATTTCGATTCACGATACGAATCCCGATTTAACAACTATGTATCAGACCAATTCAATTCTCTGAAGCAATCTGAGAAACATCATGTATTGTGTGCCTTACATTTTTTTTTTTTTTTGATTACGTTGAATCTCTTGTTAGAATATTAGTAGTTCAGCCGTCGTATTAGTTCTGTCGTCGTTGCATGCATGTGTTGACTTGGAAATCCTTTTGACAAGTTTATCCTATGCTTGTATTTGTTTTCCTAATGTTTGATATTTTTAGTTGTAGCACTTTGCAGGGGGGATTTGAGTTGCCGACTCGCCTTTCAGTGGCTGCTGCTGATTGCATTTTAGCTCTCACTGAAGCATTGACAAAAAAGGATCTAGTTTCTGACGGGTCAGATGATAGGCTGAAACCATCTAATCCAAATTTATCATTCCTGCCAATTACTTCGGCCCCTGCTGCTTTCGTTGAGAAGAAAGTGAAACCAACTAGTAGATCTCCTGATGTGTTAAACAACATGGAGATGAAGTTGTTGCTTTGGGATCATTTAGATGAACTTATTATTCTTGTGCAGAGACTCGATGCTGTATCTTCCTAACTTATCTACTATAAATATAAATATAAATATTTTGAGCTCTCTTTCGAATTTGTTATCATTAGGTCCCATTTACTTTAAAATTTGTAGAAGTTGATTTGAGGTTCTTTTCATTTGCTGGCATAAAAATAGAAGAACTGAGGATAAAATTGAGAAGAGAAGGGAAGGAACTGTGAGATAACTTTCTTTCAGCACATTCAATAATTTAACTGTCTGGGCGGAATTGAAGGTGTATATATGTGTAGGTAATGTAAGAATTTAAATAAAAAATTTACTTCACATTAGAATGAAAAGGAAACAAAACCAAAATCTTGCCATTGCATTTGATTGTTTTATATTGCCAAGTATGTGAATGCTTGTTCAAGTTTGAGAGCTGCCACTTTGTGTAAATATTGCATAGTTTTGTGATGGAGTGTGAAGTTCTAGTTCAATCAGTTTAGGTTTCTTTTGAAGTCTATTTCATTCTGTTGTCCTAATTTAATTTGGATTGGTGTTTTGCAAAAAGTATTTCTAGGGGACTTAATGTAATGACATTGATCAGGTCAGATTTGAAATTGAATCGAATTACAAGGAATTTTTCAGCAGTCTCCTTTCTTTCACTGTTAGGTTTTTACACCAGTTAGGTTTGTTCCCCATCTTCCCCTCCCAGCACTGTGCATTAACAGGACCAGCATTTCATAATAGCCTTTATCAGCATAACGTAATACCCTTTATTTTTTAATAATCATTTCTTTCGTCACTCCTAACAGATTTTGATTAATGAAAACTAAAAAGGAATGAGCGTACATATTCAAAGATTATGTTTTTTGATTGGCAGTTCAAAGTATTAGCTAGTTGACCACTGACTCATCTAAAAGCTTAAGCTATTATAGGGAGGGCCAACTTTATTATTTGTATTATATTCTTAACACACCCCCTCATGTGTGGCCAAACGCTTCTTCATAAGTGGGGCAAACACATACAAGTTTTTTATTTTTATTTTTTCCTTCTTCTTCAAAGAATTGGGTAGACGGTGACATTTGAACTCAGGTTCTATTGCCTGCTCTAATACTATATTAGATTGTTAACCATTGATTCATCTAAAAGCTTAAGCTATTAGAGAGAGGGGCAACTATTCTCAACACAAAGATTGTATTGGCTATAAAGATGCACATGTCTTTATGCTTTTTTGCCCCTGCTTTTGACCTTTTTGTTGACACTTCAAATACTATTCAAGGGTGGATATGCATTTTCCTCACTAATTCCATTATAAAATAAATGGTAAAAGTAAATTTATGGGAGATGAACACCTTAATGACGAAGAAATCGTTCAATTTGAATGCTTAACTGAAGGTAGATATAAGATAATGAAGTTGTTTAAGTTACAGTTGTAAATTATGACAACCTACTTCTGTTCAAGAAATTAAGTGAAAAGAAGTCTAAGAGCCATAATCTAGGAATATTGGATTCTAGTATGCTACGTGGAAATCAAAAGCTTGCTGTGCTCCTGTTTGATTCAACTCATTCTAGTCTTCTCTTGCCACTGATTTTTGACTAGGCTTGGATCATTTTGGACATAATCTAAAGGCTATCTGTTCCTTTGAATTAGACAAGATCCCTGTTCATCACTCTCAGTATGACGGAAAATAAGCTAATTTTGTTCCCTGTTATTTACAGAAATACCGTTATTTCACCTCTTCATCATTTTTTCAATGGAACCAAGGGTTTTTATTGTCTTGAATTTACCTAGCCTTTTGGTGAAAACTTGAGATAAGTTGGATTTAAAAAAATAAATAAAAATAAAAATGATTACTAGTTCTGTATGTTTGCTGAATATTATAACTGACTAGGGTTCTTCATTATGCGTTTGAAAAGGGTGTGCAATCTCTTTTTGGAAAAACCTTGTACTATCTCTAGTTTTGTGATCTTTTTTGTGTTATCTTCACTTGCTTTAGATTTATAGCAGTAGTTATTTATGGATCCTTGGAGCTATGAGTTTTCTGATTTCAGAATCCAGATGGCTCTTACTATAAGAATTGAAAGAATTCACAGAGTATAAATATATGTTGGGTTTGAATTGCTTCCTGAAGAAATGCAACTTTCTCCGGAATGTGATTTGATTTCCTGTTTGAGCTACTGAAAGCTTAACACATGAATAACATTTTTAGTAATTCATGTTATGCAGTGGAGCAGAAAAAGCCGTTCTTTACATGCATATGGGTTGGAGAGAGTGCTTAAGTGGTTGCAAGGCACAAAAGGGCATTATGCGCACCTTCAAACTGAGGCTGGTGTTATTCTCATCACATGCCAAAGTATTTCATAGTCTGTAGTTTTTGTTAATTAGCTCTCCAAGATGATATGCTTGTTTTTGAAATGAAAGGCAGGTTCACAAATGCACAAGACTGGAGTTTTGCTTCTCTCTTCTTGTTGGAAACATTATGGCATGTTGATGCACTTGGAAGACTACAAATTTTATTGGCATTACAAAGAATTGGTGGACCAGTACCTGTCTGGGATTCAGGTGATCTTTAAGAAGTAATATTCTTGTTATATAGTTATGTTCTATTGACTTGAACTATCTAGAGAAGCATGATATTGCTATTTGATGTTTTGTTACATGCATGCTTGTCAATTAAATATATATGTATATATTTTTTTTCCCTTTTGATATTGTTATTTGATGTTTGCTACATATAGGCTTATGGGAATCTATGAATGGTCTAAAGTATGCTATAAAATTCTAAAATATACAAAAATTTTTATTGGATGCATTGCCAGTTGGAATCTTCTGATGCTGGATTTATATCATACGATATGATACAATTCAGCAAGGTTTCCATTCGAACAGGTAGAGTGAACCCTAAATTTTTAATTTTAACAATTTAAACCTTGCATTTTACATGCAACTCAATTCACCCCATCTGTGCAAGTTCGTTTATTATAACCAATGGAGAAAGGATAAGTTAGTCTTTTTACCTATCATCCTATGAATTTGTCAATTTACACTCTTTTTTCAATTATTATTATTATTTTTTTGATAAGTACACGCTTTTTTAATTATTAAAATCACTTCCCAAACTTTTGTTCATACCCACATTTACAAATAATTTTCCATAATGTTTTTCCTTCCCCTTCCCAATCTCCCTTACCGCCCACCCCCAGCCTCTCTCTTTTTTCCATCACACCTCATCCTAATGCCTCCCCATTGTGCTTTTCACATCATCCCTACCACTGCCACTCCCACTCTTTTTCTCCATAGCCTCCAACTCCTTTCACCCCCTCCTTAACCACTCTATGCCCACTGAGTTGCCAGAAATGGAGCCTCTTCCCACCCTCTGCCTTAGCTTTTCCAATGTCTCCCCATGGATTCCTTTTCCTAGTCTCTCCCTCCCCTTAGTGTTCGTTGGTAACATCGAGATGGGAATCAATACAACCTGTTAAAATTGATGTATAAAAAGAAATAGAGAATTGTATTATTGATTGATTTATTGATGTTGTGTTAATATTACAATTACAAGGATTCCTATTATATAGGAGTGTGTTTGGGAGTAGGTGGAGAGTAGGTGAAGTGGAGGTGGTAGTGGTGTAGTGGGTTAGGTTTAGTGGAGTAGGTGAGGTGGTAGTGGTGGTAGGTTTATGGTAAATTCTAACAGCCCCCCGCAAACTCAAGGAGGATAGAAACTAACCAACTTGAGTTTGAAGAGAGGAACAAAACAAGAAAATACATAAAAATAAAATTTTCCATAATGTTTTTCCTTCCCCTTCCCAATCTCCCTTACCGCCCACCCCCAGCCTCTCTCTTTTTTCCATCACACCTCATCCTAATGCCTCCCCATTGTGCTTTTCACATCATCCCTACCACTGCCACTCCCACTCTTTTTCTCCATAGCCTCCAACTCCTTTCACCCCCTCCTTAACCACTCTATGCCCACTGAGTTGCCAGAAATGGAGCCTCTTCCCACCCTCTGCCTTAGCTTTTCCAATGTCTCCCCATGGATTCCTTTTCCTAGTCTCTCCCTCCCCTTAGTGTTCGTTGGTAACATCGAGATGGGAATCAATACAACCTCACAACAAATTACAACCAAATCACACATACACACACAAACACACACACATACGCATGCATACACACGCGTATGTAGATAGATCTGTTGTAAGAGAAGTAATTAACACATAGATATGAAGATCTTGAGTATGAACCTTTTAATCCTTTGGTGCATGATCTTTTGTAGCTAGTTTGTCAGGATTGAAGTTGTTGATGTCAAGATATGAGGATCTTAGATTGAAAGAGGATATCTAGGATACATTGGAGGCAATTGGAGAGAGGCGGTTTGGGTTTGGTGGAGGCAATTGGTTGTGGTGTGGGTGCGGCAAAAAATGGAGGAGTTGGTGGTGGTGGTATAGTAGAGATGTCATTGGTGATGGTGATGGTATGGGTGTGGTAGAGATAGTGGAAGGTGGTGGTTGGTGGTGTGGGTGAATGGAGGAGAGGATGGGTGGAAGCAGAGCAGACTAGAACTAAACTATTTTATTTTCTTTCACATATTAGTAGGCCGGATTTAAGATAAATAGAACTAAGATAGAATACATGGATTATAATTTTAGTAACAGTAACAATGGAAGCATAGTAGAAGTGAAGATTGAGAACCAAAAATTATCTAAGAGTGAATATTTTCGTTATTTAGGATCGATTATCACGACGGCTGGGCAGATTGGAGCAGATGTGATTCATAGAATCAAGGCGGGGTGGCTTAAGTGGAGGAGTGTGTCTGTGGTACTGTGCGATAAATGAGTACCCACTAGACTAAAAGGAAAGTTCAATGGAATGACTATTATACCAGCAATGTTGTATAGGACGGAATATTGGGCAACTAAGAAACAATATGTAGATAAAATGTGTTGCTGAGATGAGAATGCTAAGTGGATGTGTGGCAAAACTAGAAAAGATAGAACTAGGAATAAGTATATTCGTGAATGGGTAAGAGTATTACCGATAGAAGATAAGTTGAAAGATGTAAAAATAAATTGATAGAGAGAGAATAAATTTTATGTATTATTGATTGTTGAATTGATTGATTGTTGATATATTTACAATTCCTATATATAGAAGAAAATGTGGTAGTAGGTGTAGGAGTGAAGTGGAGGTGGTAGGTGGAGTGTGTGATAGTGGAGGTAGAAGATAAGTTGAAAGAGAATAGATTGAGATGGTTTGGTTATATACAACGGAGACCAACAAAGGCAGTAGTGAATAGATATAATACTGTGACAGTAGATGGAAGTGTTAGGCCAAGGGGGCTGACCTAGATTGATGTGAGCTAGTGCAGTAAATAGAGATATGAATCTCCTAAATTTGACCAACCAAATGGCCGTTGATAGAGTCAAGTGGAGAAGGATTCATGTAGCCAACCCTATTTGATAGGACTTAAGGTTTGGTTTGGTTTGTTTTATTGGTAGCCCAGCTTTAATCAACCTTAGCATTTCTTGCTGAGATTCCAAGTCTCCAAGTGGGCCCTCTTGCCCTATCATGACCTTGGCTTTTTAGAGGATTCCACTCATGTGTCATAGGACTTGTAGCTTGTCAATTCACCAGGTGGATTTGTTTATCCTTTGAGTTTCGTGTGTCTTCTTGGATAGTTATAGAAGCCCATATGCACAAGATGTACCGTGTGCTGGGGTGGAGGAAGCATTGGAGTGACTGTTTAGTCCATGGTCCATTCGATGGTTGGTGCAGGGCCAAAAATTGGAACAGATTGATTCTGCTTGTTCCCATCCTTTGCTTCAGGTGTACACACTAGCCCTGCTCAAAAGCCCCTCTCTTAACGATGTCGAATGAACAGCCCTAACAATCCAATGATGGCATGCCACTAGGACTCCAATCTCATCACAAATATGTCACAAATTCATCTTTATGTGTGCTGGTGCCAAATATATGTGGGAAAACATGTTTAAGTTGAACATCCCAAGGCCAAAAAGTTCATGTCAAATCAACCTCTATGATCATGACCTGCTGAGAATCCAACATACTTCTTGACTTGGCACAAAATTGTCAGATCCCTTCCTCATCCCTGCAATGATTCGACTAGATTTTTCCTGTTCCCAAATGCTCTTATTCTTCTACTTATTGAATCTTTGTTGCATCTAATCAGGTATAAATCCCTAGGTGTGGGTGTGGTTCTTGGTAAGGATCCCATAAAAATTTTAGCTGTGGATTCAAGGTGTTAGACATTTATGTAGTGCTTAGAGCATGCTATGTCATGTCGCATCCACTCTTACAGTGTAGACAATGAGTTGGTGTCTGTGTTCAGACACCGAATGGAATTTCACTATCTTGTATTAAGTTCTGGCATTCTATGCAGACTGGAATGCATTTCAGTGTAGTTAATTTCTTTCAGCAATTTCTACAACAGCATTTAAAACCTTTGGAAAAATTTGTGCTGGCATGTTACCAACATACAAGGGTCCAGCCAGCTGATTGCACTCTTAAAGCATGTTACTAACTTATTGAATATGGAAAGGTGGTATTGGCCTTGTTTGGGAAGTTGGCTATTTTAGTAGGCTATTTTAATTTTTGACTATTTTAGTAGGCTAAAATTTGTGTTTGGGAAAATTGTTAGATTTTTTTGTAGTTGGATGTCATGTTTGTGAGAGAAAAAGTGAAATGATTATAGATTTGATGTGACATTTTGTCTTATTAGCTATTTTAGTCTCTTTTTTTTTTTTTTGAATTTTAGCCTAAACCCACCAATTGTAGCCTTTGCCAAACAAGGCCATTGTTTGTGCACCTCTTTTAACAAGGAATCGAGGATCAACACTCGGTAGTGATTTAATTGGGACTGGCACTCCTTGGCAAAGAGAAATTTTACCATTCAACCATGGTAATATATATTATTATGCAGGAGCTTTTCTATACACCACTTTCTCTCAATTCACACTTTTTTTTTTCTTCTTTTTTAATTTTTGTATAAATAATTTTTTGGATATCAACGCCCAACCAAAATTACATGATTTGGAAATTAACTTCCAAACCGATGGTTCGGCTACAACTTTAGTTTGGAAGTTGATTTCCGAACCATATAGTTTTGTTTGATATTTGAACTAAAAATGGTGTGTGAACTGAGAAAAGTGATGTGTGGAAATGAAAGCTCTCGTGTTATGTGTCTTGTTTTTATTATATATTATTGATTCCAATTTTTCTACTTGGAATTGATATCAACAAAGAAAGGGGAAAAGCAAGGCATTGGCACTGAACCGCATTTCTGATCCTGAATTGGTGATAGACAATATAGTTGATATGATTAATTATGATCTGAAGATCTAGTGTCACTTACTTGATGTCCTAGATTAGGCAATCAGATTTCATTTTATAGTATAATGTTATCACCTATGAAGCATAGGTATTTTAAAAATATTGCCATACAAGTACCAGGTACTTACTAGGTGCGAGTATGCGTATTGGTATGGGTACGCGCGTACCGGGTACGTCGTGTACATACTAGGTGCACCGTATACGGTCTGGGGAAGTTGGGGGTATGCCATGGGTACGCGGTGGGTACTATTGTTTTGAACTTTGATTTGTAGGTGGGATGTTTAGCTATAAATTTAAAAAAAAAAATAAAAAAAAAATAAATATTTGACGTACCTTAGCTGTATCTGAACCTTATTTTTTTTAGATTTTAGCGTATCGGCGTACCCGTATTGTACCTGTACTGGCATTCGTACCAGCACCAGTGCTTCATAGGTTATCACTTGTGTACTATTATGATTTTGGTTGATGGAGTTCAGTTGCTGATAAGCCTCATATGCAGTTTTATGCTGACAATTACACTGAAGAGCATGCTGAGAATAAAGAAAGTGGAGTAGAGACTATAAAGTTTTTCCTAAATTGTCTATCCCTTTTGTTGGGGCATTTAGATGGCAAGCAATTTGAAAATGCAATGTCAGAAGATGGGCTGCGGATATCTCGAGTTCTCATATCACAGGTATCTATTGTTCAAATTCTTAAATAGATATGCTGCAGTAATTTTCTTGTTAGAGTCATCAAATTGCATTCATTACATCCTAATAGAGATCAAAGCTTTCATGTGACAAAACTTCTTATAAATGGCTTTGAACATATCAAAGTTTTCATCTGACCAAACTTCTTATAAATGGCTTGTGTTTACTTAATGCACTGCCATGCCTATTCCATCTCTTTTCTTTTCTTTTTTTTTTTTGTTTTGTTTTGTTTTGTTTTTGTCAGTTCTTATTTCAATAGCTGTTTGAGGGACGGTGAATGTAGTTGAACAGTTGATCTTTTTGTGAATCAAGCACGTGTAATCATAATTTTTTCTACTCACGTAGATTCTTTTAACAATATTGTGTTGATCTTTGTGATGTTGGTTTTGATTTTACCTTATTGCACTTTTTGTTGAGCAATGGAGGTAGAGAACAAAATAGCCACTTAGTACACCTTTGAATATTATTGACCCTATCCCAATTTGTGATAAAAATCAAATTGGTACATGTTAGTGGTGGTTGATCGTATCTTCACTGAGGAGGTACTTCTTGACATTACACCTACATTCAAAAAATGAAGGGTGGAAACTCTTTTAACTAGTTTTGGGAGTAGATGGATGGACTAGTTTAAACAGGTGATGGTGGGTCAATACGATATAATGAAATGTAAACAGAAACAATGAAGGGTGGAAAAGAAGGATGGAGTGTTCTGGATGCTAGACACTGATTAAATGAAGAATATGCAATCTTTGAGTTTCAGTGCAGGCAAGTTTGAAATCATTGCATTGATATTATTTAAGAATTTACTGAAAAAATGCTAAATGCTAATAGAATGGTGGTAGTGCTTGGCCCATTAACAGAAAATTTTAGTTTGGCAATCTAAGAGGACCATACATTAGTAGGTAGCTTGAGTTTAAGAAAACATCAATGACAAACAGTGTGGGGGGCTTTACAGAGTGTGAGCATTACAGTGAACACTGAAAAACAAAGTTCCTGGAAAATGAGCTATGTATAACAGTGCCTCCAAGAGTAATTCATTGTATCTTTTATGAGCCCTCGAGTTAGAAGAAAAGAAAGAGGCAACTAGAGGTTTAAATTTTGTTAGCTGTACAGAATATGGTGAGTTAACGTTTTTATGAAGATTAGAACAAGCTTGCTTCCTAATCTTGCTTTAGTGTTATATGATATCATTTTTGAAACTTAAATCACCCAAAAAGATATCATTTTTCAAAGGTGAGGTTTTGATAAGCATGCTGGTTGTTGCTGAATGATATTGATGGATGGATATACTACTACAAACTATAAATGTGGATTGAGGCCTATGAAGTACAGGTACTCCGAAAATGATGCCGTACTCGTATTGGGTACTTACCGGGTATTGTTATGTGTACCAATAGGGCTGCATGCGTACTGGGTACTCAAAATACGTACCGAGTACTTGTTATATATTCTTTGGCAGTTGGGTACTCCGTTGGTACTGTGTGGATAAGAGATGGGTACATCGGGGTTGCATCAAGTTATGGAATATTGGTGGAGATACGTTTAATTTATTAGAGAGTTCTAATTTCCTTGAATTACAAATTCTTTACTTGATGTGCCAGAAATGAAAGATGTATTATTCAATGATAAAGTTAATGAAAGTAAAAATTGAAATTTGAAGTTTCTAAATTTTGCTTAGCTTGCTTTTGGAATGAAAATTTGTTTTGTAATTTTTCCTATTTAATGGCATTAAAATAGCTTATGAACTTTGCTTTGGTATTGGTATTGTTGAATTGTGATTTCTCTTTTTGTTTTGTAATTTCTCCTTTTAGTTTTGGTATTGAACTTTGATTTGTAAGTTGAATCTCAAACTATAAATTATAAAAAATAAAAAATTATTGACGCATCCTATTTAAATTATAAAAAATAAAAAATTATTACCCTAGCCATACCCATATCCTATTTTTTTTAGGTCTTGCCGCATCGACGTACCAGTATCCGTACCCGTACTACTACCTGTACCCGCACCCCGTGCTTCATAGATAGATGGTACAGGAACTTGAAGATGTGTGCATAATGTTTAATGTCATCCATATTGAAATGAATTGTGCAACATACAAAACCATGGGTTGGATTTGGACAAGAAGGATGAAATCAAGAGTAAATGATTCTGAACACAAAGAAACCAGTGATTTTGGTGGCACATAGTGATGCTGAACAAATATCAAGAAACCCATTCAACAAATTAATTGATCCCAAAACTAGAAATTATGGAGAATTGGTCCAAAGAAAAAATCAAAAGTTCTAAGAAGAATAAGAAGAGTGAAGCACATGGGTCAAAACTCTAATCTCACAGAAATGGCCACAACCAATATCAATATTCCAAAGCTAACCTAAAAATATTCCATAAAGCCATATATAGGCAACTTAGAAAAACCTAATTATGTTTATAAAAAATAGAACACTAACCTAATAAATCCCTAAATTAAAAAACTGATAAATAAATAAAATTACAGAATCTTCAATTTTTCTATCCAACGCCTTTTCGTTTCCCAGCACATAGTCTTTTTGTGACTTCAGGGATGATTGGTGTGTACCAACGGAGTGATGCAAGATTGACCAGGAACTTGGATTTGACAGGTAGAGTGATCCAAGATAGCTGATCAACTGATGTAGGATGAGTAGAGACAGCAACAAATTAGACTTTTGGGGCTGATTTTAAATGGGTTTTATAGCCGAAATCGCAATAAGAATTTATGTTACATGGACTTGGGTACGGGTGTCGGGTGTTGGTATGTATCTAGAAGTCGGACTCATCAACTCATAAATTTAAGGGTATATGGACTTAGAAAAAAAAATGTCATATTTTTATATTTTTAATCAAGTATGTGAGATAAAATGGTGTTGTATGTTCCTAACAGTGTTAAAAAGATATTTATAACAATTACACAAGAATATGTACATATAATAATAGTGTTATATACAATTATATAAGAAGTATCCGACACGTATCCCATACCCTTGTCCAAGTGTTGGATGCCCGACACGGGTATTTGATTTATTTTGAAGAGTCTGTGTAACATAGATAAGATTATAGGGTTTTGAAGAATTTGTATGGGGTAATAAAGGGGTAAGCGTTTAAGCATGAAAATATGAGATTTTGGCATTGTTTAGGGGTTGTTTGAAGGTCTTTGAACAGTGAAAGTGCAGAAAATAAATGAGGGAAAGAAGGAGATAGTTTATGGGAATCACTCCTAGAGGCCTTAGGCATCACACCTAGGGTTTGATTGTATCACACAATCTATAAGAAAGTTTCAAGTCTCTGAATATTCTATATAATATCAACTCTACTAAATTAGAAGACTTTATATAGATTTTAAAGACTTCCTATTTCAACTTTAACTAAAAAAGGAAACTACTAAAATATGTTGACTTCTAAAACCAATTTAAGACTAAATAAGAAACATAAATAAAAACTATTTAAATAACTTGACCCACATGACAACGCATGGGTGACCCCATCAGCTCGTGTTAGCAAATATTAAAATTATCAAAATACCCCTAACAAAAAAATTCTAGAAAATATGTAAATAATCATAAAATAAAACTCTAGTAACACTAGAAATATAGTTTTCTATTTGAAATCAAGTCAATGTCCAAATATCATTGCTTCTTTGAATTTAACCTTCCTTGAGCTTCGTATACTCTGCATCATAAACTAGGATGGGACAGGACTGAAGTGTGCCAATAAACTTCATAGTGGAGACAAGAAGAGTTCTAACATCTGCTTGTGGATTTGGAATGAGTAGTTTGTGAAAGGGAACCTCTTTGGGTTCTTTGGAATTGTTCTCATTCTAAGTTGTGGTGACAATAGTCAATTTAAGAGTAATGGCTTTTAAGTATGGGAAGTTGGTCTTTTTGTGTGTGCGAGGTAAAGTAGGTGGGATTCATGTTTCAATCTCATTTTCTCCTAATGGTAAGCAATTAACTGTTTAGGACCTTTTTCTCTGATGCCATCTTGAAAATTGAGAAGTGTTGTGTTTTGAGGATTAACTACTATATGTCAATTGCTTCTTTCTTTGCTCCCTTGTGGCAGTCTTAAGAAGTTGGATATTGTACAAGTTTTGCAGGTTCCTGTAAACCATGTATTTTTTTGTTTTTTGTTTTCTCTATTCTCTTTTTTTAAGAAATGAGGATGGTTTTTGGGGACTGCTTGTTCTCTGCCAAGCTTAGTTAAAAAGAAGTAGAAGAAGAAGTATAAGAACTTGAAATTCACGGATAGACTCTTCAAGAAGAAGATAGGAACTAAAAATTTATGGATAGAAGTTGGGAATGGGAATGGGAATGGGAATGGATGCTGGATACAGAACGATTTGGTGTTTGCTGTTTGTTGGGTTCTTTTGGAAGGAAAAACTGAGTATTTTTAATATCTATCAGTCTTTATAGTATTTGTTGGATAGAAGATGTTTTCCAAGTTACTGTGTGGATCTCCATGTCTAAAGGTTTTTGTTATTTTGATTGTCATTGAAGATATGCAATCTTTCATGGAACCTGCTGATCCCTTCTTTTGGTATGCTTTGTCTAGGTTTACAGTTTGGTGTGTTTATGAATATTAATATTATCTAATGGCTCTTATTGTGATTAAATTTTACATTTGCTGCTCAATTTTGGATTAGTTAGAACCTTCTCTTTGATGGAGCCAATTTAGGAATGAATTTTGTTAGAGAGAGAAAATCTCAATTAGAGATACAAGAGCTCTCATGCTCACAAAATACAACGTAAAAATATCATCAACTACATTTCCAAGACTCTACCTACCTATTTATAGGCCAAGAGACCCAACTAACTCTTATGGTGCTAAGACATAACTACACCACTATTTCTAACTACATCACTCTTAACCTCAAAACTGACAAGTTACCATATCACATAAATTGATTCAGAATTGCGAGTCATACAATTGTATCATGACATGCATAGATTCATTGATATTCTATGCATTTAAATTGAGAAGGGCTCACAATCGAATTGAATTGAATGATTCAAATTATGAATCTTAAGATTCTGACAGTTATGTCTGTGGGTATCTATTTTATGCTTGGCACGTGGCGAGCCCTACGAGTGTCACGTCAACACCACTACACATCCACATGGCAGACCCTCTAGGCACCACGATGAGTATGTCATTACCACCACACATCCACGTGGCAGACCCCTGACGCACCATGATGAGTCGGGGTCGTATGCCTAGCCTAAGCGGGGGCATGCACACCAGCGAGTATGAAAACAATGCCACAACTCACTGTGATAAAGCTGGCTCACCTAGAGCACTCCATTGCCCTTCATAACTCAAGAAATATATTCTCTATCCACTCACCCCAGCTCCATAGCAATAGTTGGACTCTTGGCTCACCTATGTTTACTTAGCTGCTTAGGATGAGCCCTTGGCTCACCCATACATTCACCCTCTTGGCTGCCTAGGTTGGGAGTAGGACCTAGGCACTCCACCTTGGGATTATTGGAGGATTGTGGATTGGAGGCTAAGACATCAGGATCGTCAAGGTTTTGTAGCTGTCTCCCTACAGTGATAGTTCCCCTTTGACCTGGCTTAGAGAAAGGGACGTTGACCTTACACTTACATCTGATGCACATATGATACGCCTCTCTCAAGATATCATACCTACAGCTGTAGCTCCTATGATGCAACCTTCCCAAGGACCTGAATCATAGGACACATCTAGTAGGGTTGATATCACCCTCCCGTCGAGTCGAGGAGAACTCGCCGCTTGTCTTGAGGTTGCTTGGGCTCAAATACTCCTGGAGTCTATATAACGGCATCATAAGTGCAACCACAATAACACAAGAAGAGCAACAAGAATCACATGGCATATACTAAGTGTTCAAGGTCTCTCACTACCACCCCTTTCCTCTCTAAGTTTGCATTGGTCTTCTCCTCTTCCACCTCTGGTGATCTCAGGCCATTGAAGTGTCTACCATCTTCCCAGAGGTCAACGACCGATCGCCTCTAATCTCTATCACCCACAATGTCTAACAACCTCAAAATTGGGCCAATTTTGAAATTGCTTGACTTCAGTGGGCCACTGTTATATAATTGTCACTGAGTGGTAAACTGAGGAAAATAAACAATATTATGTCAAATTTTTGAAAGAAATTCACTGGGAATTATTCAGTGAGAACATGCCCTTGTTAAATCCTAATTGATATGAATTGTGGAATTGGAGACAAGACAACACTTTGCAGGTCCATTGTCCGATTGGTCAATCACTATTATACTCCTTGTTAGAAAGAAATGGATATTCTATTTTTATATCATATTCAAGTGTCAATTCACTTCATAACCAATATAGTTTTCTATGTGTAACAGGTATATAATGTTCATATGTAGAAAGGTTATTGCATGATTTAAAGCATATGACAAGCAGTTGTGTCTAGTTTGTACAAGCTTGATTTGATGTCAATATATGCTGGTTTGTTCGAAATTTTTGGCTCAATTTGATTACATATGCTTCCCTAGGGTTGTGTCTACAGCCATTGTGGATTGGTTGACCAAGTAACCTTTGCCACCCTCAGTTGTAGTAGAAAACTGTGCAGGTCTCTTCTATTTCCTGGTATACATTGATTGCATTAAGTACCATGAGCTGCACTAATAGGATGTAGATAATTTGAACAACTCAAGGAGAATGAATCAATATTCTGTGTTTTCAAATTTATTGGAGCGGTTGTATGCTTTATATTCATACTCACATCCTGGCTCTTTTTGAAGCTTCACTGTGCTGATGTGGATGTGATTGATGGCGCTGTTTGCATCTTGAAAGCAGTCATCTTTAGAAGCAATTCTTCCTTGGCTGGAAGCAGTCTCACTAATACTAGAGAGATGGATGCTTTATTACCATTGCTCCTACACCTTTTAGATGAACGTGATGGCACAGCTAGGGCTGTTGTTGTACTCATTGCGGAATACTGCTCCATGTATCTTTTTTCCTTTTTAAAATTTTTTCATTTGCATTAGTAATTCATGTTCTAGATTTTTATCTTTTCAAATCTGACTGCTAAAAATTGGTTTACCAGAAGCACAGATAACCAGTGCCTTAAGGAAGTTCTACAGCGTCTTGCTTCTGGAGCTGTTTTACAGAGGAGGAATGCCATTGATGTTATTTCAGAACTATTTCATATATCACCAGATTCGGTGAATATACTTTCCAGTTTAATGTGATTCAAGGTTGCTTTTGATGGCAATAAGCCTTTTGATAAATTGCATGTCTTTACCCCCTTGGCTATTCTTCAGGTTTATTGCAGGCAAGATATAGCAAACCACTTGCTGAAGCTCCTTGGAGATGAAGAACTGGTAATTCGAGCACAGGCAACAAAGTTGATTCCTATGATGGGTTAGTATGAGATTTAGAATTTATGATTCCATGTCAAATCTAAAATGCTTGTGATAAGTATTTCAGTAGAGGTTACGTAGAAACATGCTTATTAGGAGACAACAAAAAAAAAAAAAAAAAAAAAGGGAAAAAAAGAAAAAAAGGAAAAAAAAGGTTTACTTGTAGATCTGTTGCTTCTTGTGCCAACTGTCATTACTGATTAGTCATGGACAGTAGCTTTGGCCAGTCTCATAGTCTTAGTATGCTAGGTTGAATGCTTTAGGAAGGAAAGGGTTTGGGTTTGTGGGTTGGAGTTGTTAAGGTTAGGAGTGAGGTGAAAGGATAGTAAATTGCCATGGGCTGGGCTTGTGAGTTGGAGGTTTTAAGGTTAGGAGGAGTGAGGTAAAAGGATAGTAAAGTGCTAAATAAAGGAAAAGGAGAAGGCGGAGTAAAATTTAAAGTGAATTTGTCAAGTAAAAAGGAGAAGGAAGAAGGCAAATAAAGCTAGATGGTTGGAAAGGCCTTTTGATGAAATGGAAATTAAACGTAGTTTTTGATTTTGAGAACTCCCTAGGTCCAAATGGTTTTATTATGGCTATTTTCCAAAATTGTTGGGACATTGTGAGGTTTAGTTTGATTTAACGAGGGGCTTTACTAAATTTTTCAAAAATGGAGTTGTCAATGCTTGTACAAATGCTGCATTCATATGTTTGATTCCTAAGAAGGAGAATTCTTTGAAGATTGAGGATTTTAGGCCTATTATTTAGTTACTTTCTCATGTAATATAGCATATATGCTTATTTCTAAGAGATTGATAGTGATTTCGGGTGACACTATACTTGTTTCTTAGGGAACCTTTTGTTGAGGGTTGTCGGATTTTGGATGTAGCATTGGTGGCAATCAGATAGTGGAGTAGGATTATATATCTCAAGGCGTGTAAATTGTTTTTTTTAAGATTTAATTTTTGAGAAAGTTTATGATCATGTGGATTGGGGTTTCTTTCATTTTTCTATGGATAGGAAAGGATCTGGAGTTAGATGGAGGAAATGGATTCATGGTTAGCCTTCTTCTATTGAGATGCAACAAGGATCTAAGGCAAGGTGACCCTTATTCTCCTTTTTGTCCACGATTGTGGATGATGTTTTGGGTTGAATGGTCTATAGGACTAAGGAGAGAGGCTAGGTTAAGATTTCAGTTTCTCATCTTCAATTTGTAGATAACACCATGTTTTTTCTCCATTGTGGAGCATTCTAAAATGGTTAGTTTGCATTCTGTTTCGAGGAAAAACGTGTGCTTTAGATTGGGAATATAACCACTAGTGATAGGGAAAAATTCAGGGGGAAGGACAAAGGAAAGAGCAATGCCTAAATTAAATCAATTGATTTGTCATGGTAGAGAATAAAAGTGGCACACAGACTATACTTGAGCTTCAGATCAATGTCCCCAAAAGCAAGGACTACGCCTGCATGTTTCAACGAGAACACTGAAAAAACCTAATTGAGCTCTATGTAAGATAGCCATGAAACTATAACCGATAGATTCAGACACTTGGCTGCAGCTGCATGCAAAAGGAATGTGGTTCTGGTTGAGGCTTTCTGTCGCAAGATATATTGCATAGGATAGTTGGCTTATTAGGCTGTTCCATTGAATCTTTGCCATTGAGATATTTAGGCCTTCCTCTGGGGTTAATCCTAGGGCTGAAAGTTTTGGGGATCTTGTGATTGTAGGCATTCATCCTACTCTCATTGTCTTGGTGAGAAAAGAATTGTAATAACCTTTTGTCTTCGTGCTATTGTTTGTACAAATTAAGTGTCTCGATTATAATCCTCTGCGTTAATGAATTGTTTGTTTCTTCTTGCAGACCCATCTCTGCTTTTGCCTGCATTAGTTCGTCTTGTTTGTTCATCAGATGAAGTAGTACATTCATCTGCCAGAAATGCATTTGTCGCAGTGCTCAAATATCATAATAAAAAATTTGAAGTTTTATGCATGCTGCTCGACTGTCTTAGGTATATTGCTAGTTTAACTTCCACTTGTTTCTTTGTTTGTTTGTATATGGCTTCAAAGGCTTGATTTGTTTGCAAGTGGTTTGTTTCTGGAAATTTTGGAGTACCAACTTATTTCGCTCATATCATTAATACATCGGGCAGCTGTTTTACTTGTGAAACTTTGTAATTTGTATTTTCTTCAGCAATATCTGCCAGAACCCAGATCTTCCTCAAGCTCTAGGTGATAGAGGGAAAGGTGTGTCTCTCCTGTTTTGATTATAGAATTGATCAACATGCTATCACATCCTTGTTCATACTCGTTTTTTTTACAGTTTTATGAAAAATTTTGAAAAAGAAATTCTTTGATCTTGTAAGTCTGCAAAAAATCTAAAAAGTCATAAATGGATATATTATACATAAACCACATTTTTCTGACAACTTCTGACATATTTTTGGAAATATCTTCTCCTATTCTTGTACAAGGCAAACATTTAGCATAACTTGGGGGATACTTGAATGGGGCCATGAGCTGCCTTTAAGTAGATCATTCATATGGCCTAAAATCTTTATTTTGACTACTAAATTATATACCCTGCATTATGATTAGGGCCCATTAACTGGACCTTATTTTTTGTTAATTATTTATAGAGTCAATTTTTGAATTAGGCCGATCATTTGGCTAGACTATTTGCACAAAATATGGATCAATCTTCTGAGACCTATCTTGAATTATTTGCTCCAGTTGCTGCACCAAAGAAAATTCCAATTAAATGGACCTTAGGAATATGGATTTTTTGAGTTAGGATATTTAATTTGATGACCTTGCAAACTTATAACCACCATTGCCATACCAATTCCAAAATTGTCATAAGGTTCTGAATTTTTCTTTTCTGTTCCTCCATCGAAGCATTCAATGGAGGCACTTTTATGTCAAATACTTGGTTTTAAGTGTTCTTACAAAACAGTTTCAAGGTACTGTTTGTTGAGTGATTTTATTTTCAAGCACATTTTCTTTCTTTTTTTATTTTTTATTTTATTTTTTTTTTTTTATTTTTTTCCATTTATGTGTTACCTCTTCATTATATTGTAGAAGGGTCAAAGTTGGATGCTGATAGAGTGCTCAAGCTGATCCCTCAGTGGTCAGAAAGTGTAAGCTTGATTATTTTGCAATTTGTGTATTTTATTTTATTTTATTATAAGTGATTTCTTCTATGAAAATTTGATGTTTCTTTTTTTATTGGTTTGTAAATTTGATGTTTCTTGGCTATGGTGTTCTTTCATGTGCGTGTGGCCTTTGTTCATTACCTTTCTGAGTAGTGTTTTTTGTATTTGCCTGTTTAATGTATTCATGTGTTTCTGTGCTTGGCTTAGGTTATTTTATTGTGCTAGATTATCACCTTATTAATATTGCTATTAAGGGCCAGCCACTAAATCTGGTCGGCCGACCAGTTTCTGCCCCTGGTTTCTGGTTTTCTGCAACAGAAGACAAGAGAGAGAGATGGCAAAGTATTCGCAACACATGTGTGCACGACCACTCTCCCCATCATTGCATAGGCTCAAAAGAGTGTAGTCCTTGACCCTCGGGCCACCAATCACGCATCTCGATGCATGATGGCCGAGGAGTCGAATTGCACGACTCAATGTGAAATGAATGGACGTACAAGCACCTAAAGCCAACAACTCCGTCATGGGTAGTCAAGAGTGTCGGTGACCAGGAATCGAGGCACGTTTCATCATTTCAAGCATGAAACGTCCCTCGTTCCCTGTGTTTGGACTAACCCCTATTCCAAACACGATGTAACAAACAAGGCATGCACCAATGCAACTCTAGCATGCAATCTTAATGCAATGCAACTAAGTCATGCAAACATGAAACTAGCATACACAATGCTATGAACTAACAATGGCATACTCAATGCACATGACACTTAGCATACACAATGCACATAGAAACTAACATACACAATGAGATGAACAAGGCCTGCACAATGCAATGATCAATCACGCGACAACATGGCATACTCAATGCTATGAACTACAATGGCATACTCAATGCAAAATGGACTTAAACCAAAATGGATGGGCCTCAGCCACACCCAAATCAGTGGCCAATAGATGATGGAAATAAGGCATCAAAACACATACGATCATGCACAATGCAACGGGCCGAAGTCTAAGGCACAAAACACAACTTTCCAGACGCATTGAAAGGATGAAATATGGAGTGCAATGACACATGTTTCAGCTCTGAAATGGCAAACAAAATGACTTCAAATTATGCAAACAACTCATCTAATGCATGCTGAATGGCTCAAGCATCGAAAATAGTGAAGTGTATTACACTATAGGCATGCAAGGCAATCCTCAAATGGCAAAACCAACTCCAAATAGACCCTATGCAGGCCTAAAACAGTAGCAAAATGAGTTGGGATGATGGCTTGAAAGGCACAAAAATGAAGCTCATGCAATGGCTCACAAAATAGGGTATAAAATCACAACTCTCAAGGGCACTTAAAGAGTGGAAAACATGGAAGTATGACAGCCCTATATGCTCTGAAATATCATGCTCAATGATGCCAAAACATGAAAATACCTCAAGTTAAGCATGCAAGGGACTTCAAAACTCAAAGCCAGTCAAGGCTATTACACTACAAGCATGTATGGAAAGCATCTTTCGACCAAGAGGCCTCAAAACTGAGCTAAGGTAGCCTAAAATATAAGCAAAACAAGGTTGGAGCATGGCCAAAATATGCTAGAATAGAGGGCCAAAACATCAAGCATTCTAAGCTAATAAACATGATTTACACTACAAGCATATGAAGCATGTGAGAGGCAACCAAACAGGCTAAACAAAGAGTCATGGCATGCCAAATGATGACCAAAAACCCACTGAAATATGACCAATACATGCAAGAATGACATGCTACTTTGATAAGCCACAAAAAGGATTACTCCACACATGCAAGAGGCAAACCCAAGGTGACCAAACCAGCCATAGAAAGAGTCTAGGTAGGCCCTAAAAGTCACCAAAAAGTGCCTGAACCGAGCCTTGAAAGTATGAAAAGATATGCTCCTTTGATAGGCCAAAAATGCAAGCAAACAAGACCAAAAGAGAGAGGGTCACCCCTCTCTGATTTAGGGCCTCAAAACCACATGTCAACCACTGAAAATCCACTGAATTTCAGTGGCTAAAAGTCCATGCAAGGGTTAATTCAAAGGCCTTATGGCATGGCACAAAACAAGGCCAAATAGGGCATGCAAGAGGGAAGATGACCCTCAGCACCAAAAGGGCCTTAAACAAACATGAAAAACACTTAAATATGGAGCTTTTTTCAGTTGACAACAAAGCTCAAATGAGCATGCAAGTCTGGCTAAGAGAGTGATCAAGACAAAGCTTAAAAAGAGAGAAAAGAGATTACCCTTGAAGCTCAGCAAAACCAGCAAGTTCCTCAGCCAAAAACCACCCTTTTAACCTCCAAAAATAACCTCTAGGAACCTCAGTTCAATGGTAAGGATTTATGGCTAAGAGTTCGGGTGTTAAAGGTCAAGAACCATACACACTTTTGGCTCAAAATATAGAGATGTAGAGAGAGATATGTGTTTGTGCCTTAGGAAATTTTTTTTGAACCTGCTTCAACCAGAGGGAGAGCCTCTCTTATAGAAGAAACAAAAGGTTCAAGCTTCTTGGAGAAGCTAAACTTGGATGCAATCCCTCTATACATGTGTATGGAGGATACAGTCTGTTCCCTCCAGCTGGCACAGCTAGCATCTATTCAGTCAGACAAAACAGGAGGAAACCTGCTGACCAGAAAAGGTGGTCGGCCTGCTACTTTTAGTGGTCGGCTGACCACCCAAAGTGGTTTCCCAAAAAAAAAGTGGTCGGCCAGGGTAATTGGTGTTCTCCACACTGAAAGCAAGCCAATGGTGGGGTGGGAAACCAGAAAATGTAGCCCAAAGACCAAGAAAACCAGTTTCCCGACCAGAAAATCGGCTGGCGGGGAGAAAAGTGGTTTCCAAGGAGAAATCTGGTCTGCCACCCTTGTACCACCTTCCAAACAAGGAAAACAAGGTTCGTGCCAAGAACGAACCAACACGAATGCAAAACGAGAGTTCGGGAGCAAGACGCGCGTCCGGGGGCCTCGAAAACTGGCTGTTGAGAACAAAAAGTGGCGTATGACCACAAAAGTGGTCTCCCGGACCACAGTGTCCCTCTAGACAGAGGAAACAAGGTGTGTTCCCAAAAATGTGCCAAACGGAGAATGTTAAGCGGTCTTGAACCGAGGCGTACGGCCGACGGCTTCGAAAACCAGAAATTAGTCTCCAAATGGGAACAGTGGCCTATGACCACGAAAAGTAGTCCACGACCACTGAGAGATGGTCTACAAGACATCTCCCTCCCTCCGGGAAGAGAAAACAAGACTTAGTCCGCAGACCGAGTCAAAGTACAAAGAGTCCCGAGGTCCGGAGGTGAGGCTCTCAGCCAAGAACTCCGAAACCTCGAAACGAGCACAACATGCGCAATCACCGAGCACTCAATCGATGACGTCTGAGTCTTAAGGTCGGTCAAAAATGGGGTGTCTACATTAAGGTATTGTGGAAACACCATGGAGTCGAGGAAGCAACTTGAGAGCGTGAATTGGAAGTCCGAGAGAAATATCCGGACTTATTTGTTAGTGTTTGATTATATATGGAGATTTTGATTATGCTAATGAAATGTAAAAGTATTGTATATGTTTTAAAACACGAAAACATTGTATATGTTATGGGTGCTTGGTGACAAGGATTCAATATAAGCATTGCATATGTTTTGAGAATATGACGCATTGTATGTGTTGTATAATCTTTAAAAACATTGTATATGTTGCTTAAGTTTTTGGAAGTACGAGTTTATTATAAAAAATAAATATGTTGGAAATTTGAAATGTATATTCATAATGTGATGGGATTGAATGACCGGTAGATGCGTCATGGTGTTGGAATTGAATTGTAATCATTGTGGTAATGGTTTAAAACATAGTTTGGAAATTTGAATTGAAATTTCAAGGACGAAATTCCTTATGGAGGGGGAGGTTATAGTGACTCTGGTTTTGACCCAACATTTTACTATGTTTCGGACTCAGGTTTTTGGGTTCAAGGTTATTGCTCATCTCTTTTTCCCCGTGTTGTTCTTTGGTTTGGTCATTGGGTTTGTAGTTGTGTGTTTGGAACAGGTTGGTTGCTTACTTTTCCAAACCTGTGTTGCCCAGAATTTTTGCCCTCCGCTTGAGTGGCCATTGTTAAGCTCAAGCAGGCTTTGTAAATTTTGCTCCTCCACTCGAGTGGCCAATTTTGTGCTCGAGTGGGCTTTGCAAACTGGCAATATTTTTGCAGACCTGCAAATGCTAGAAGAGTGCATTCTACACTCGAGCGGCGTTTCCTACGCCCAAGCGGGTGGACGCTCGAGTGTCCAATCTTGCACTCGAGCGTTGTCCTTCATCTGCAAAAATTTTGAAAGTGTGTATTCGACGCTCGAGCGTCACTTTTTACGCTCAAATAGAACTTTGTGTCTGAGGCTCGAGCGTCACTTTCTACGCTTGAGCGGACTGTGCGTATAACAATCCATGAAGATGATTTTTTATCACTTTTTCATTCCTCTCTCTCTCTCTCTAAAACTCTCCAAAACCCTAGATCTTGAGTTTCTCTCTCTAAAACTCATATTCTCTCATCTATTTCATCCAGATCCATTGGGTTCCTCACCCTAGTGCCTTTGAGAAAAAGGTGGAGCTCGTCGTGGGCTCTCTTTTCATCCGAACGAAAGTGGGTTTCTGTATCTTTGGAGTTTCAACCTTGCTTGCTTGTCTTCTCTTCTTGAGGTAGGGATTTTCTACATTTTCATATGATATTTAACTTAGCTATTTGTTGATGGTGTAACAATGGTAGGCTCTGGGTGTATTATGGACAAACCTAGGATTTGGGTTGTAAAATCAAAAGAGGAGTTTCTAAAGGTATGTTGTAGGAATGGTTATGAGGTTAAATGTAAGGTGGTATGGTTACACCATAGGTGATTTTGGCCTTGGATCGATATTTAAAAAGAGGGAGTTTGCCCTAAAATGATTATAGTATTTATTTTGTATAAATAAATGAAATTGGTGTTGTAAACATGAAATTGGGCGAATATTGAAATAGATGGTGGAGTTGAGTATGTAATATCTCTCATCTTTGGAAATTTTGAATAAATT